AAAAAAAAAAAAAAAAAAATTAACCAGGCATGGTGGCACATGCCTGTCGACCCAGCTACTAAGGAGACTGAGGTGGGAGAGTTGCTTGAACCCTGAAGGCAGAGGTTACAGTGAGCTGAGATGGCACCACTGCACTCCAGCCTGAGTGACAGAGCAAGACGCTGTCTCAAAAAAAAAAAAAAAAGCCACCCTGTAAAGCAGGAAATTCAAGGAGACTGCCAGAGGGAAAAGGCTGCAGAGTGTGGAGAAGAAAGGGCACTCCTGCCTGCTATACAGAACCACTTTAGAGAGGGGCGCCCAGCAGGAGCCACACAGAGGTGAGTGTGGAGCTCTCTAGGAGCTGCAGACCGAAATCAGGGGTCTGAGGAAATTAGAGAGGCCCAAGACCCCATACGTGGAACCACTCTCTTCTGCATACCCAAGGCATTTGTTTCACTTGTGCCTCAACTCTAGCACTTCTCCCTCCTCCTTCTGTTAGTTACTTGTCTCTCTTCCCTGAAGCACTGAAAGCCATTTAAAGGTAGGGCATCTGTTCTTCACATAGTGGAACATACAGTAACTTGATTCCGTTGACAGAAACATTTCCTGAGGCCTTATTTTGCGCTGAGCACAACGTTAGGCCCTAGGTTGGTGTGGCCTGGGAGTGGTGGGGGATGGAGTAGTGGGTATGTAGATGAATAAGGCACAGGTCCTGCCCTTGATGAATCCTCAGTCTAGAAGAAGCAGACAAATGAACAAATAATTATAATAGAATGTGTTCAGAGAAGAGAGATTAACTCCCCTGGAAGGGAACCATCAGATAAGACTTTTGAATAACATTCAAAACATATTTGTTAGCCAGGCTCAGTGGCTCATGCCTGTAATCCCAACAGTGTGGGAGGCTGAGGCAGGAGGATCACTTGAGGTCAGGAGTTCAAGACCAGCCTGGGCAACATAGCAAGACCCTCATATCTACAAAATATTTTAAAATTAGCCAGTCGTGGTGGCGTGTGCATGTAGTCCCAGCTACTCAGGAGGCTGAGGTGGAAGGATCACTGAAGCCCAGGAGGTTGAGACCACAGTGAGCTATGATTGTGCCACTGCACTACTGCCTGGACAGCAGAGCAAGACCCTGTCTCTAAAAAATTAAAATATAAATAAAAGTAAATGTGATGATTGATTGGCTATTCTAGGACGACACTAAGTAAATGAAACATATTGCCACCCTCATGCTACCCCAGAAATTATGTCTGATCATGGACATTACTGATAAACCTGAGTGGACTTTACTGAAAGTCCCTCAGCTAGCCTCCTATGCTCACCCCAGCCAGGCTCTTGCTGCAGCTGTAACATAACCCAGGTAGGTGGAAGATGTGGGGGGAAGCAGGGTCCCCCTGCAGCTGCTGAACATCTGGTGTGCAGAATTGAGGTAACTAATAATGACAGGCGGTTCTCCCCTGGGCCCTGACCCTCAGAATTTGGGACAGCTAATTTGGCTAAGAAACTAAACCCCAACAAAATTGTGTGTTGCCTTTCCCAAGTTTTAGCATTTCAGAAACAGTGGCCGATGAACCAGAAGGGTAATAGAGTTTGAGAGTATCCCAGGGCAAAAAGGGGCCTCAGGTGAAAGAAGATACACGACAAGCAAGCTGTATGTTTTGGTGACAGAGCAGTAGTTGTTGAGAGCAAACTCCACCCTGAATTTGAACTATGAAAGGGAAGGAGAGTCCTACAAATTCCTCAACATCATTGTCACAAACTGTATATGACTCTCCATCCAGCTTCTTTAAATCTTTTCAGGGTATGTCAGGTAGCATCCAGTATTTTATTTCTATAATATCATCCTTTGCTTTTGTTTTTATTTTTATTTTTAAGACAGGGACTTGCTCTGTTGCCCAGGCTGGAGTGCAGTGGCACAATCATGGCTCGCTGCAACCTCAATCTCCTGAGCTCAGGCAATTCTCCCACATCAGCCTCCTGAGTAACTGGGACCACAGGCGTGCACCACCACGACTGACTAATTTTTAAATAATTTGTAGGGATGCGGTCTCCCTGTGTCGCCCAGGCTGGTCTCAAACTCCTGGACTCAAGCGATCCTCCCACCTTGGCCTCCCAAAGTGCTGAGAGTACAGGTGTGAGCCACTGCACTTGGCCATCCTTTGTTTGTTTGTTTTTTTAATTGCAAAGTAATAAAAAAGTAAATAAGACACGCTTATTTTTAAAATTCAAATACAGAAGTACATAAAGGAAAACATGCATGTTTCTACTTCACTCTCCATCCTCAATCCCACTCCTAAGGAGCAATCATCACTTAAATGTTTATCCTTCCAGACTTTTTTCTCTGCATATGCAAACATGTACATATTTGAATATGTTTTGATATTTACAGGATCATACTTTTTATAATTTTTTTTTTTTTTTTGAGACAGAGTCTCACTCTGTTGCCCAGGCTGGAATGCAATGGCACAATCTCGGCTCACTACAACCTCCACCTCCCGAGTTCAAGTGATTCTCCTGCCTCAGCCTCCTGAGTAGCTGGAATTACAGGC